CTTAAACTGAAAAGAGTCATCAATGAAAAGTGATTGTATATCTGGTGTACTATATGAAAACATCTGACTGAGGAAATTCACCGGACAAAGACATAAAATTAGAGGAAATAATATGACAGTAAGAATTACGGTGAACTGCTATATTAAAGTATTTAAGAGATTTAATATGAATTACAAAGTGTCTAATTTCGTTATAGTGTCTATAGGCCCAAAAATGGATCAGAGAAGATGTGATGATGTATTTCATGAAGCGATATGAGACGCTGAAACATGCTGACACTCTCCATTCAATACTGGATGGAGTCCATGAGGAATCCAAACTAGAGATGCTGATCAGCAGATACTGGTGGAGGAGTCAGAGCTTGACAGAAAATACTTTTCATGGAGAAGGATTGTGCCAGTTGGTTCTACATTTGAGAAGAGCAGCAGGAAATAAGGAAGAGAGGGCAGAACAACAGGAAAAATGAGAACTGGAAATAGACTCCAAAATCGAAGTTAATATAGAGAAACATTCCTTCTGTTAAAATCAGCACAAGGCACTATGTGCAACATTCAGTTGTCTGTATCACAGAATTTTTCTCTTTCTTTTCTCTTCAGTTAGACATAAAATACTTTACACATAAAGTTGCATGTAAATAGCTATATGATTTTTTGTTCTAGTGCCTTATATTTTGATGCACGTCTTTGTGTAAATACCCCTATTTTTAAGACTATCTTTTTAAAATCTAAAGATTAAGTGTAAATTTAAATAATTTTATTTTGAAAAAAGAATTTTCAGATTATATACACCGAAATAATATAAATTAAATGAAGTAAATAGGTTCCATATTTTTGAGATGTGACTAATATAACTGACACAAGCCTATAAAATATGGTAATTAATATATAATTGTAATTAAAGTTTTGGGTCCTTTACATTTCAATAAAATGCTTAACCATAATTAAAACCAAGGGCAGTTCTAATTTTTCCTTTGTAAAATAATGACTCAGAGTGAAAGAACTTTTCATTGTTTGTCCAGCTAATTGCTGATCATTCAAACTGTCATGAAATCTTAAGGCTGGCACAAAGGATTTGGATTTTCATTTAGTTGGACTAAATAACATTTCAAATGAGCCTTTCAAAAGAATTTAGAGCAATCAGGCTTGTGAAGAACAGAGAGGAACTAACTGAATAAGGCAGTGACATCATCCTTTGTAACATCACATTTGGAGAGAGTAGGATTGATGGCAATGGGTGGCTAGAGGGCTATGACTGGCAAGTAAGAGACAGAAATATTATCGCAGATAGTATGTTCAAATAGGATGTTTATTAAAATTCAATAAAATAGATGAAGACAGAGTCCCAGTTGGAGGGCTGGAAGCAGTCATGATATGGAAGAGGGAGAAGGAAGACGGGCACCGCTGCAGCTTGTCCAGCACTCAGTTCAGCTTGTGCAGGAAGAAGAGTAGCCTGAAGGCTCTTTAACACCATGCTTTCCTCCTGCTCTTCCCAACACTCCCGTCAGGCCGATGCACCCTCCTTCTCTTGAAGCCTAGTTAGATTTTCAGCAAAGGAGAAGATTCTGTCCTGCAACAAGGACCTACCGGCCATCTGCTAATCTGAATGCTCAAAGCATGTTCTCCATGAGAGCCCAGCGCAGTAGTAGTATTCCAGACTACTAAGACTATTGCTGAGGAACTGCAGAGTAAAGCCAGAGCAAGAAAAGATGTGGTACTGACCAGTTCCTGGGTCAACAGAAGACTAATATTCCTGAAAAGACCATAATCCTGAAGACTGATGAATGCTGCCCTTCTGTGCCTCTTGCTCTAAGCTAATGAGCTTGGTCTTATTTGCCTCTTCCTCTTCTTACAGCTGCAGAGCTTTGGAGGGAGGCAGCTGCATTATTCTCCAAGAAGCACACAGCATAGAAAATGGTCATTTTCTCTTCTTGGCAGAAAACATCAGAAGTCAGATATTTCTGCAAAAGATGTAGGCTAAGGAAGCGTTTTCAGCTGGAAAATAAAGCTCGTCAAAATGGTTCACAACATGGTGTTGGGGACCAGAGGCCTCAAATTTCTCCTTTAAGTTTCATGCAAATAAGCAACTGGACAGAGAAAAAAATTATTAGTCCTTCACTTGAAAAAAAGCTGTAGCTTAACTCAACTCTTCTTAAACTGCAACCTACATGGGGTACAACTTCATGGGAAACCAGTCTTATATGGTCTATTTGCTTTTTTTCAGTTAACTCACAAATTATATTATTTTTAAAATTTCTGATGGTTAATAAAAACTGAATGTGGTCTTATGAATAAAGTCTTTTATATAACATATGAACTAATGTACTGAACCTTCATTTTTTGTCACTAGTTGGGTTGTGAGTGGTGATTCATGGAAAACAAAAAATAATAAAAAAGGTGGAAAAACAGCAATCAAACAAAGCGTTCCTATGGCATTGCCATAAGAGAAACAGTTTTTGCTGCCTGGTACCTCAGGCTTAGTTAGTACAAGCAAGACACTTTATGACACTTTGTGTCACCATAATTCTTTAGATACCTTGACCCTATTGTATCTTCTGAGTAGAGCCAGAATTGCAGGTGTGCAGGCAGATAGCCATGACTGAGGTAGAGCTTATTTTTACAGAAGTACATACAGCTGGATCAGAATTTAAAAAATAAATACTCTGCAAGCTCAGCCACTGCCATTCACAATATCTGTGGTAGGCTTCACCTTGTCTAACATCAGTTACCTGAAACATTGATGTGCAGTTTTAGCTTGTCATGCAAGTTCCCTCCCAAGTCAAAAGATAAAAATGATCACTCCCAGACAGCAGTTCAACCTCCCCATCCAAAGAGAGGCACCCTGGAGATGCCGCTCCATCCATGAATTGGAGAGGGAATCCAGACAACAGAGTACACACTGAAGTTGGAAGAAATGAACGCTGTCCTTAGAGTGCTTCAAAAGCTCTGATGCCTTACACTGGTGCTTCACCAGCAGCTGGGCTCCTCTGGGCACCACCAAGTCCTGACTGCAGTAACAACTACCAGTAAACGTGCAGTGGGGTCACTGCTCTTTGGTGGATGTTCTCCTTTTCACTCAGTCACGTGCAGGTCTTGTGCCAATCATTACGAACTTTACTAGCATTAATGAGAGACAACACCAAGTATTTAGCTAAGCATGACTCGCTACTTGCTTTGGCCATCTTACTTACTGTTACAGCATGGTTTGCTGCCTGGAAGGGGCTGCTTTTAGATGAAGCTTCAGCAGTGGCTCTGAAACGAGGGACCCCTTTAAAAATAAAGGAGCAGAAATGCTTTTTTTTTTTTTTTTTTAATTCCAAACACTGTCTAAAAAAAGAGCAATTCCCTCCCTCTGAGGTGAGTTTAATGAATGTCTAGCCCCATTGCTGTATAAGGTTGAATGAGGACGAAAGCAAACAAACAGCAATTCTTCTTGCTGGTCCCCATTTTTGTTGAATGTATTGTACATTTGAACTGTTGAAATGGTTAGCTCAGGAATAAGAACTCGTAACACATAATATTAAGGGAAAATAGTGGTTATTTGCACACAGATTAGTCCTATGATAAAAACATCAAGACTCCTAAAGCCCACCTGAGTGCATTAATTCCTTCTCATCTCCCAGACATACACAAAGCAGATGTTTTTTTCTACATTCTTTAAATAGATGAATGATTCTGCCATCTTGTGGGAGAAAGAGAAAATATAACTATTTGTTGGTAATAACGGCATGACTGAACAGTACTGAAATTTCTTCATTAAATTAACAGACCTCAGCAGCTAGTATGTCTCAAATAGCCCTTGAAACAGGAATGAGTTACAGTTTCATGAAGGCACAGGAACAAATTGGTTGATTTTTAAGATACTGACTTCACCAGAAAGTCTGCTCAGAATTTAGGCGTACAACAACTAAAAATTTTGATTTTTTTCTTTTTTTGCTGAAAATCTGGTGATACGAAATATTTAACATCTCCCTTACATTTGTTAAAATAAAAAAGGTAAGGATAGTCCTTTATTAAAAGAAAAAAGGTAAAATCCTATAGAATGTAATGAGCAATTACCCCTTCAAAAATTTTAAACTTGCATATGTGAATATAGAAACTTAATCCTCTCTTAATAAGTCTATAGCATAGTTTTAAAAAATAAGTGGTTAATTTGTGGTGAATTTGGCTTTATCTGATATACATTGTATCCTTATCATGGGCAGTTTAATAGACAGACAATAATCCTTGTTCTATCCTACGACAAGAAGTATGCCAGAGTAAATGCTATTAATTCTAGAAAGAATAATGACAGCTTAAGAGAACAAGAGCTGGAAAAAATTATTGACCAGTTTCATCCTGAAATGCATGTAGAGGCTCTCCTCCTATTTTACCTTTCCCAGTAGGTGAAAAATCAATCAAAGAGTACTTCATAGTGTCACAAAAACATACGTGATCTCCACAACTGCAGAGAACCTCTTGGGAACCATCAGATTCACCAGAAAGGATTGTGCTAGAAAATACTAGGCTTGAAGTAGAATAGCGCAAGAGACACATTTACTCCTCGTCACTGTAAGCCTCCATCCAAGTGGATTTACTTTGAGCTGTTCCTTCCCAACCAAAAATTGTCTTGGAGAAACAAGCTGAGGTAGTTTATATTTCTTTGAAACAGCTGCAATGAACTTGTCTAGTAAATCTAGTGCAATTTCAAAAGCAAGCTTCCTGGACCAAATACAACTGAGTTTTTGCTTGCAGAACTTCTTAGTAAGACCATTATTTTCATTTATAAACTAGCTATTAAAGCAAAGAATATTCTGTAAAGCACTTTAAACAAAGATCAAAAAACCATAATCTAATAAAAAGGAAAACAAAGATTCAACGTCACTGTAATTTTTTTTTTTAAAATAATGTGGTTTGGGAAGTACCTAAATAGCTAAGCCTAAATCTAGATCTCAGTTTCCCCAAATTTGGATCAAAGATTTTAACAAGGAAACAGACTTTACATTAACAAACAAACTGCCTACCTCCACCACTCTGTCGCCTGTTTGTACTCCAGCCAAGTCTGCTGGGCCATCTTTCGGGAGCCGAGCAATCAAGATCCCCTGGTAACATAAAAAAACAAGTTGCAGACCTAACCCAGTTTCTTCTATTGTTCTCAGACACAAAAAGCAAATGGGAAGTAATTAAGTTTCAAAACTTGTTGTTCTGCTGCCTCTATTAAAATAAAAACTAAACATCTTAGCAGATTACCAGGAAAAAAGGTTCCATGGCTGACTGACATACACAACAAAGAGCAAAAGCCATTACTTGTTTACACTGTGCCATGGGGAACAGACTGGGAAATAAGGTTTTATTTAAAGGATAATTAAGGGAGAAGATGTGAGAAATACTTCTCTCAAGTCAAGTTAGCTCCTGGGAATGAGCAACAGGACAGGAGAGGCATGTGGATTGCATGCAAGGAGTGACCTTGAATACAGGTGGAAAATGGAAACTAGCCAATGGTGTTTCAGCCATGAGGCTGTCTTTGGGAAATCATCTGTTTACCTGAGGCTTTCTTTTCAAAATCATTCCTCCAGGAGCTTCTCCATCAAATTCTACTGCCAGTATCTATTTTGAGAAATCAGTTACCCATTTTTCCCCCTTGCCAACTGTATTACTAAGACAGTGGCATTACATTGAGGATGAGCTCAGAAAGAAAACAACAAAACATAACAGCTTCAAAGAACTGCTCATCAGTTTCTTTCTAATTATTACTAGATAAATTTTGAGTAATGAAATGCACCTCATCATTGTCTTTATATGGAGATGAGCCCTTTCCACCAGCAATGCTAATACCAAGACTCCCCATTTGACTGCACACAGTAATGGTTATCTGGAAAAGAATTATAATTATTAAGTGGGCTGATTAATCAAAAACATTACCTATGAATTACATGAGCAATGAAAGTCTAGCTCCCGTTCTGAACACCAGCAGATTTCCCCCTATACAGCTCAGCAAAGACAAAAATGGTGCTATTCTTAAATACTGTGGCATGCAAGACTAGTCTTTACTCTTCAGTAACATCAAGAATGCATTATTTCTAAACTCCAGGTTTTAGAGTCATGCCAAAACTTTAAAAGGCTGTTTATCATGTGCACTTTATTTTGCCCAGCTTCCTCTTCCTGGCTTTTGCCTCTGAGCAGCTCTATTGTTTTTAAAGGAAACAGACTGGGAGCCAGCTGCTACCCAGTGGGTGTATTCAAGCTGTAAGTCAGTGGCAAAACTCCCTCTGAATCCAGCAAGGCCATAACTTCAGCCAGTGCCACAGAATTGCCTGGCTCTACACTGGGAACATCCAGTGCACATTCTGGAAAAACAGGTGACCAAATCAGATGTTTCATAAAAGCCACCAATTAACTGAGGATTTTATCAGGGCAGCACCACCAGTATACATCAGGAGTGAAAAGTAAATACTTTTTGATAAGTTTACAAAGTACATTTGTTTTTAGACTTCAGAAGGAACTTCTCTGAGACCAGATAACTGAATTTAAGCAATATTATAGTAGGTTTTTAAAATATATTTTTGCAAGGTTTTTTTCTGTCTGTGTGTGTGTGCACTGCTGTGTCAAAACATTAGATAGCACTCTAACCATTGATTTAGGAGTAAAAATGTCAGGAAGTCTTTTAAAAAGTAACAGAAATTGGAATCCATCTAATTTGTTTTCATTCTCCTAGTATTGTCAAAAATATAGTGCCTCTGCTCAGTGACTTGGATATTTCTTTGAATTTACATACCTTGCAGCATAAGCCAAATAAAATTATTTTCAAGTTCCAAAGACAGTTTACATTTAAGAATGATTCTTGGTTTTTTCTTTAATATAAAATGTTATTGCTATTAAATTTAACTAATTTGCATATACATAAAACAACAGTCATGTCGAATTTAAGGAACACATTGTAACAGTGCAGTGAAATTTGAACACAAAGCACAATCACCTGATCACATAAGGAAAATGCTCTTACTTTTATTGACTGAGTTCACATCTCTAAGATAATTCAGGTTGGAATAACTTTTGATATTTTACATTAAGAACATTTCAATACAGCTGGTGTTTCAAAACTTGACAAATGCATGCAGTTACTCTTGTAAGTATAACACATTCAGTTGAAATCCCTAATTTTTATGAAGGTATGAAAATACCACATTACCCAAATGAAAACCATTGCAAAATTTAGCTTAGGTTTAGCATTACTCGCATGCCAAAGAATTCACCAACCCAGTCTTGTTAGTAATGCATTAGTGAGTGCTTTTATGCCGAGTCCCAGCACAGGTGCCACCCCAGGTGAACCATCCTGCCTTGTGCTGTACCCCAAGTCCTGGGCACACTGCAACACTTTGCATTTCTGCTCTTATCTCCCTCTCTAAAGACGGCTAACGATCGAACCTACGCCTGCCCAAACGCCCCTCTGCTGGCCACTCAGCACAGAGAGGTGAACTGGAATTTGCTGCTGGTGTGGACTCCTGGGAGCCAGCCCATAAGGCGCATCTCATCATCTGCTGCGCAGTATACCAGCATGTGATGAATCCATTGAATCTGGAAAGTAGCTTCCTCTATAAATCTCAGCCCAAATCTTGCAGTTCTCCCTAATAAATTTTCACCTGAATATTCCCACTCATCTTCACTGGGTTACTCACATAACTGAAGCGTTCTCGTGCTGTAAGGTTAAAGCCATATTCCTAAATCAAGGCCTAAATATTTATATCTGAAGACTAAGCTGAGTGTTCATCTGCATAGACTTTTGACTGACCTTATGATATTCCAAAGCTGGGTACAGAAAACAGGAGAAAATTGAAAGAACATGGCTACCAAGAGGTGGGTTTTTTTTTTTTCCTTAAGAGCAAATTCTATTTCCACAGAAGCCAATGGGAGCAAGGACAAACCTCAGCTTACGTTCTATGACTGCTCAATTCCATACCAACTACAGTGTGATGTCCTCCTTTACATCTTTTATAAATAGTCCTGCATAAAAGGCAGAATTTCTCACACGCATGCAGATCCTGTGTGCATCATGGTTCATTACCTTCAGCGGGGGCTGCGCCACATCTGCAGCCCTCGTGTCCTCTGGAAACCTGTTGGTCTCTACTGCTGTTGAGACAGGTGACTGCGTCCTATTGTTACTCCTTGGAAAAGTTTTCCCTTTCATTGCTGCTTTGTGCTTTTCTTGAAGGGCTGCTCTAATATTTCTTTGATCCCTTATGTTATCATCAGTATCAAAAAGACTGCCAGAAAACTTGGAAATAGGTTCCTAGGGGTTAAAGATAAAAAAGGTAAACAATGCAAAGGCAATGAGAATAGCTATCTGACACTTTGTGCACTAAATTAGATTTGTTCCTCTCTACTAAATAAATTGCTGTATGTTAGCATTTATCTCACTGAAGACACTGGACCGACACGCAACGTTAAAGCAAATGTACAAAAGTTACATAGTTATTTCTCTGGCATGGTCTTTCCTCAACACAGCAGTGGAGATTCATGGGAATAGGGAGAGGACTGGGATGCGTATAGACTATCACTATGTCCCCTGACACACACAAGCACCTCTAACACTCCTTCCCACCTTCCTCCTCTAAATACAATAATACCTTATGAAAAGGGATGGAGCGTGGAAGTGAGGCTATTCTGGACAACACTGGTAGCTCAGTAGCAGTGAATCCACTGTCTTAGGGAAAGGAGTCATATATGGTCTGCAAAGGAAAGGGCTTTCCACACAGAAAATAATACCTTTCTCATGGTTTCTCAAGGCTAATCTTCCCTATTTGGGAGCACAGGTGTAAGATGGAAAGCTAACCCCAACTTTATATATGTATCTCCAAAAGAAGATTTTGTTTAAGTGTGTTAATGTGACTTTATTTAGCTGCAAGTGGCAGTGGGTGGAGACTTGCAAACTTGGTAACAATCCAGTGGTTTCAGGATCTGCTGGCACTAGAGACTCAGAGGTGGCATATCCTTAACACCACTCTGAAGCCTGCCTCTGGGATTTGCAAAGATCCATGTAGTTATTCTGTAGCTATGTAGATACAGAGAGTGATACCGGGCGTATAGGGAGGGTAATATCACCCTATTCGTAGCTAACCCACAAGGGCTTGAAAAGAGAAATACACAATTAAAACATATCCACCAAATAATCTGAGCTTCAGAAAAATTTGACTGCAAAACACAATGAAATTTTCCAGTTATCAGTTTTGCTTGGCAGGGTGGTTAAATGAAACTCAGCCATGATCTCCTAACTGCTCACATTTTATAGACGCCTTATTCATACTTAGCTGCTTTTTTCTCCTTAATTTGATGGGTAAGGTTGAATCAAATCAAATTTTCTAATCATTCATCTACTGCTGGCAGTAAAACAATGCAACAATGGTCAACGCCTTTGAATATAAACCCCATAAACATCTTCCTAAAGCTTGGAAGTCTAATACCAATAATAAAAAGGCAATAGCTGTTATCATGAACAGCTGCCCAGAAAGCCCACTGGACACTTTGTTTTTAAGCCTAAAGTGGAGCTTTTTCACAATATCTTTCTGGTTGAGATGGAAAGAAGCATCATCAGCACCAGGGAGAGCAAATGAGGCATGACTGCTTCCTATTTTCATTTAAAATTAAACAGGAATTTAACCAGCAGCAAATTATAACCAAATCTCAGTCAATTAACTTCATGGGCTGAGGGACAATGAGAAAAAAAAAACTGCCTTAGTGCGCAGGCCGTAAAAAACAAACTTACCCAGGGGAGTAAGCCTGAAAGAACAGCCTGGCCGGGGGACAGAACTGTACTGCAAATTGTATAAATATAGTGAAACGGATATCAAGAGCACATATAGATTTTTAAAGCGAGAAACTCCCAAGATTCTCATATTATCAGATTGGCACAAAAGAGGCCCAGCCATGTGATACGGACTGTTAAATTGCCATTAGGCACAAATGCAGTTGCAGTCAAGGGATATTCTGGAAAGGCTGAACTTGGTATTAGTCAAATAACTTGCATTTAGTTGGTTCACGGCTTTTGAGCCTGTTGCATCAGCTATGCACTGTGATTTGTTTCACCCCGTCAACTCTGACATTTATTCTTTCTTCTTCTCTAAGAGGCCGTTCTCCTGTAATGGCCTGGGGCTGACTAATCCTCACCAATTAGCACCGCTGCTCTGCTTGTGTTGGGGGCTCTGGGTGCGAGAGAGCAAGGTCAGCAGCAGGGCCAGCTGGAAGAGGGGACCACGGAGCAGGCACCCCGGCAGCACAGGGGGCTCAGAGGTGGGGGTCGCAAGCAGAAAAGGCTGCTGGCAGGAGCTCCCAAGGCGACAGTTGTCAGCAGAGAAACTTGGGAACGTGAACAAAACAGAGAGGCGCAGCAGGATCCCATCCGGGAAGCAGCGGCACCGCTGCGAGACCATCTCCTGCTGCTCAGCGTGGGATCCTTTGGCAGAGGGGCAAAGGAGCAGGGAGGCGAGTTCTCCCCTTTACTCCCAGCAGATCTGCGGATGACAGACTGCTGCACAATCCCCTGCCAGGGAAAGGCTTTGAGAGTGCAGTCACCTCCTATACAACCTCCTCTTCTCATGTTATGGGAAGTCTTCCCAAGTGCCAGTCCACTGCCATCCCATGGCACCTGCACATCTCTCACACCCAGTACTGGCCAGACACCACGCTGCAAGTTCTGCTAACAAATCACTTACCTGAAAGCACAGAGAGATGTTGCTAATTGGATATATAAGTAGAAGTGAAATAAAAAAGATAACCTTTCTGTATTTCATCGCTGATCAGATTACTTGCCTTAATCTGCAAGTTCCACTATACTCTTAGGGGTTGGGTGGTGGTTTTGATTGAAAGCAAAGTAAAGGAATAAAAGATGATTCTGAGCCCTCTGCCACAAAACACAAGCAAGGACATGAAACAACAACACATTAGCACTACAAGGAGCTGATCCTAGGAGACGGTAGATCCAGCCTCCCTCTAACACAGGGCACTCTGCCACCCAGCCAGAAGTGCAGTTGTTCGAAGAGTTTGTAGTTTCTTGACAAGACACACAACATTGTCTCTCCTGGCTGTAAAGGAAACTACCTACATCCTCATCAGGATCCTCCAGTTCCTCCGCTTCTTGCTCAGGACTGATCCTTCCTTCCCTCCATTTTTCATTAGCAGAGCTGAGCTTGTACAGGTTACCGCCATGGAAACCTTCCTTTCCCTTTAACGAGGCCCAGCGAGAGCCCTGGGAGCTCCAGTTATGGCCACCGTACAGTTTGGGAGACTTGGGAAGCCACTTAACAGAGCCCTGAGAGGAAGAGGACAAAAAGATAGGCAATGAATAGATTTTAAGAAAGCGAATGCAGTATGCATGTGCAGAAATTGTCTGGCAACTTCTGCAAGGTATTTTATCACCTTGTAAATACAAGGTCTCCCCTTTTTACCTTGAGAGGTACCTTTAGTCCCAGAGAGACACTTTGTCAGTTAATGGGCTGATGATGCAATGAGCAAGCTAAGGCTGCTGAAATTAATGGAAATCTTCAGTGAGACTCACATGCACAGGGAACCAAGCCCACCTCCAGCACCTCAGAGGAAGCAGTAACTGGCCAACTACAGTGTTCATTAACGATCTGTTCTGTACTACTAAGAAAATAACCACGAACACTTAGGCTTTGGTGACCATTTCAGCTCACATCTTGAATTAAACAACTTATCGATAGTTACCACTGCATTTTCCCTATTCTTTAAATAAAATGTTTTGCTGAAGGGTACCAATATAAGCTATAATACTAAATTGATCTTTTAAGGCTTTCCTGATTTTCAAAGGGTATAACAAGAGCTAAGATTGGAGAAAAGAGTAATTTACTGCATTTTATCTTCCTGCATGCAATTACAGTCCAATCTTCTCAAAGCATCAGTTATTTATTTACATTTAAAAAAAATCTTCACCTCTCTACTTCACACATAGAAGTTACACATTTCTGAGAGCTTTTCAGGTAAATAAAACATGTGATATAGAAAAATCGCATGTAAAGAGGAGTGGAAGTGGTCCATAGATTTTTTTTTTTTTTTAACTTCCTTGTCTCTTTGAATGAGCTCTTTAGAGTATTATTACTGACTTAATGTAGATGCTACAACAGGCAAAAGTCTGTGAATAATGCAAGACTATTAACAAGACCTGCCAAAGGGCTTCAGACTGAATGGCAAAACTGGCTGTTTTAAAAAAAAAAAAAATCACAAGAAGTTCCTACCACTGCTGGAAATAAATAAAGAAATAAATAAATACTTGGCAAACTCTGGGGTCCCCCATCCCTGCTGCCTTCTTTGCCAGAAGCCGTTAACAATCCACACTTCTTTTTGAACATAGCTCCTCCTTAGCTCAAACCTACTCCAGATCAGTCCCAAAAGTTGGCCCTCCCTAAGTCCAACCCCATTCCACCTTCAGACAAAGCGACAGTTTGAGCATTCCTGAGAATCACTACTTCTGATCTTTTCTAAAGCACATTATAAGGATCTGAAAATGCCTTTAAAATACACACAAAAAAATCTCACAACTTTCCTACATCTGGTCTACATAGTCTCCAAAACTAAAATCCGGAACATACCCCAAGCAGAAGTCTACATTAAATTAACACTTTGTCTTATTATTATGGCAACGATTAATATGCTTCATAGAATTCTTAGCAAAAAGTAAATAAGTCAGGAATTTCTCAAAACTTCATTATAGGGGACTTAAAATCTAGTTTAACTCAAGAACAAAAACCCACACAAAAGGACTATTTTCAGAAGTGATGTACAACTTCTGGATAAACAACCAGAGACACTTAAAGGTTATCAATCTCAAGAGCATAGGAATTGAGCATTTTATGAATATCACTCCTGATACCCACCTTGACATAGCGCGTATCTCAATGTAGAAGGTATGGCAAAAATACCTCTAAAGCTTTTCAAGAAACGTCCAACATCCCTCCCACCCAAACATATAAAAGTGTACTGCAGAATTAAGCTGATACAGGCAATGCACATGGTTAGAAGTAAATTGTCTTATGAAGCAAACAACCTAACATTCAAATTCTCCAATTATTTATTTTACATAGCTGCAGCTTCAAATAATCTTGCTCAAATGTACCCATTAACAGGCAAAATGACCCATAATACTTTTGCACATAAGCCAGATGTTTTCTCTTTGGCATTCCACTGCTTCCCACTTTTTCTGACCAGCTCAGATTTTACCCTTCAGCAAGATCTTACTTTGCTTCAGACATAGGAAGAAAGAATTTTCAGAAATTTGAGTCAAGGTTGACCACATACATTTATTAAACTGAACTTCAGAAGTCATCTTTATAGTAACCTTTATCTTTCTTTCAAGCTTTCTTTTAAATTTACTTTTAAAATTCCTTAAGTTGATATAAAATCTAATAGCACAAAATAGCCTTGTATGAATAGATATGTTAACACACATGATCCAGTAAGGCAAAGAAACTGAAGAAAAAAACGTTATCACCAAGCTTACGGTGGACCAATCAGCGGTACATTCACATTTTTTAAACAGATTTAGTAATTTTTAAAATCAGTTTTCCCTTTTTAACACAAAATGGTTAAGTTCACACAAACACACAAAGTTCTTGCTGGTGTCAATGCCACAGATGTCAGTACCCCACTTAAAAGGAAGATAGGACAAGTTTGTCAATACTAGACATACTGACTCATCTTTTGTTGCTGAAGGAGCTCCCTTTGGGATTCTTCATTTGCCTTTTTTTTTTTTTTTTTGCCTTTTTTCCCCCCTTAATTTTGGTGAACAGATTGGAAAATGTGCAAGGACAGTGTTTCAGTGTCTCGTAGGAAAAGATTATAGACCTTTCTGTAAGTTTTTAAAAGATCATAGCCCAAAATGTGTTACATTTGACACAGAATACGTGATTTGCCTCTGTAAGAAGTCAGCTGCTAAATCACATTTTGAACTGCACTGACGTTCACCAGTACCACCCTTTGCTGATAAATAGCCATGATTTCTGGTTATGCTGAACCACACATCTTAGTGCGCTCAAGCTGGCTGTACATTAGTTCATTAATGAACTGAATGCAAAAGCAGCACAAACAATAATGTCGCATTAGAGGCTCCCACTCCTGACAATTCACGAAGCACAAGGCACGATATCTCACGGTATTTCTATGCTACTTGCCTTGAATAAGGAAATACAGGGCACTCTCAGAAACTTTGTTTCCTATTCAAGTAACAAAGAGGATAAAAATTCTAATCAAAGCTTGAAAGAGCATACTATCTAAAATTGTTTATTTTTATTTTTTTTATTTTAGGAGAGCTGATATGCTGGATGGCCTCCCAGCATTCAGGGTATTTCCATATATGGTCCTAACCATTCTCAACTTTTAAGCTCATTAGAAAATCACTCTAAAATTACCCATAGGTACAGTGAGGCATTTAGCTTTTTCTGAGGGATTGCCTCATCCTATTTGACCCTGATCCCTAAAGAATAGCCCCCAAACACAGCACTCCAATTTCTTGTCCCGTAAGATCAGCATGAGGCTCTTCTCTCAAAGCAACACAAGCTGAAAAACATAAACGCTACACGCGGGTAGATCTCTAAGTTAGCTTAAAAAGAAAATCACTTCGCTCTTCAGAATACATTCAAGAGCTGTGGTAGCCTCCTGCATGCATGAAGAGCGAGTGGATTTTCTTCACCTTTATTGACCTTACAGCTAAGTTGGGATGCACAACTGCTCCCTACGTGTATTCTCCTGTGGTAGAATAACTTTTGTCAAGCTGACATACAGTCATAAAGGAGCTCTTAGGAGCATACTTGAAATTCACGATCTGTTTCACACCTCACATCTTTTCCGCAACTCTTTAATTTCTCTTTAATTTCATCTTGATCCACAGAAGTTTATGGTAACATAGAAATGGCATGACAATTCTGAATAAGAGCAGTCACGCTCTCATTAGGTCTACACAGAATCACAGAACAGTTGAAGTCAGAAGGGACCTCTGGAGATCATCTAGTCCAACCTCCCTGCTCAAGCAGGGTCCTCCAAAGCATACTTCCCAAGATCGCATCCAGGCGGGTTTTGAATATCTGCAGGAACATTCACACAATGCCATGGGGGAGATTTTACAAAAGCAGTTTCATAATTTGGTTATATCCATGGCAAAAGACTGAACAGGACAACTAGAAGTGGCTTTTAGTCCATATTTGCATCTATCTGTATAAGCAAAACACTGAATTATGCTTCTGTGAAATATAAAGAGAAAACAAAGTCAACAAATACTGCTAGTGAGAGTGTAACATAACACTACTTTGAAAACAAACCTTAATCCTATGTTACTTTACTTTCTACAATCCTTTTTCATGAAGAAAAAAGAGAAAAGGAAAAAAAAGGAAATAAAGATATTGGACTTAACACAGAGTTCAGTAGCAACACAAGGGGAGGACCAGAGAATGTCCTGTATGCTGTTCCTGGACCCAGGCAATGCCGGGGTGTCGCAGGGCTGGGGTCCTCCAGGCCTTTTGGAGGAAGCCAAGAGTAGCAATAGCGCTACACAATACCGCAAGTTCTTAGTTACACCAATAACGCAAAGACCTTGCTATAAGGAGGAGGAGATGGAAGGTATAGGCCGGTCGTTTGCTGTGTTAGAATATAGAGCAAACATTCCATCTTTTTATTGGATATATATTAAAAAAAAAAATCTCACCACTCTGACTTATTAAACTAGGTAACTTCTACATCATCTGACCATGGCCATCGACTGTGTTAGATGGGTATAAAGCTGAAATCACCCCTCAAAGTAGAAGTTAGCATAGTTTAGCTAACAAGCAGTCGCTTTGTACTCTGTATAGAGCTGTCTTAAAAAATCTCCAGTAATTCACTAGCTCCATCTTATTAGATTCAATATACTAGGATCATACTCTCAAACACAAAAGAAGCTACCAGAAAATACATTTAATATTAAGAGAGAAAAATTAGTTCTCATTACAGAATTTTACAGAGAATACTTCACAGGGGTAGTATGAAGACCAATGAGGTAGAAAGGGGTTTTTTTTTGTATTTTATACTTGGGGAAGCTGAAAGGCAAAAAGATTTAAATGGTCAATGTTTTAAGCTATTAGTAGCAAATACAGAGTGAAGCACTTAGTTTTAAAGTCTCTTTGCAATTCCTGCAATAAAACAAAGGGAGAAGGAAAATTCAATACTTCAGACTTTTTAAAACTTCCTGGATGTTTGGACTGTGCAACTCCAATGTTTTGTAAATGCAGAAGAAATGTTTGGGAAAAAGATATTTATAGGCCTCAG